CTTGAGTCCCCTAAGCAAAGTGACCCCTTCAGTGATACCTTAAAACGCCTAACAATTAGGCTTGGCCTCCTGTATGTTTTAACCACCTAACACTTTTGTTATTAAACTCCTGTTTGCCCCATAAAATGCTGAGAGCTTACTACATGGAAATATAATCTAAAAAGTATTAATTCCAAAAGAGATATTTCTCTTATTTCTCAAATTTTATTTTTTTCTCCTTTTGGTTTGGCCCTCCATCCTCCAAGTTGGAGGTTGTTTTATTAGGGGCAGATTTTGCATTTTCCTTAGTGATTTACTATGAATGTTCTAGAGGGGCAAAATTCTGATCTTAGCAAGCAAAAGTCTGGAAGAAAAATAATTTGGGAAATGAAGTAATTTTATATATGTTTATTTATTTTCATATATTTATTTGATATATAAGTTTAGTCCATAAAATGAGCTTGCTACTCTCAAAATAGCTATGGTAAGTGCTAAATATTTTTATTTTTTTATAAATTTATTTTTTATTGGTGTTCAATTTGCCAACATATAGAATAACACCCAGGGCTCATCCCATCAAGTGCCCACCTCAGTGCCCGTCACCCAGTCACCCCCACCCCCTGCTCACCTCCCTTTCACCACCCCTAGTTCGTTTCCCAGAGTTAGGAGTCTCTCATGTTCTGTCTCCCTTTCTGATATTTCCCACTCATTTTTTTTCTCCTTTCCCCTTTGTTCCCTTTCACTATTTTTATATTCCCCAAATGAATGAGACCATATAATATTTGTCCTTCTCCGATTGACTTATTTCACTCAGCATCACACCCTCCAGTTCCATCCACGTCAAAGCAAATGGTAGGTATTTGTCATTTCTAACAGCTGAGGAATGTTCCATTGTATACATAAATTGGATCTCATGGGATATTCATTAGATTGCTCCTCTTCTACCCATCCCCACCATAGACTGGAAAGGTTAGCACAAGACAAGGCCTCAGACCCCAGAATAGGATTAGAAGAGTCGTCTATTCCAAAAACCTAGAAACAAGAAGAGTTAGAGAAGAGTACGGGAGTCAAAGAAGTTGAAAATTTCATCAATCCAAAATGGCAAGCACAAGCCTGGAAAGACATAAGGTACAAAGAACAGCAATAAGAATGGCCCAAAAAAGATCCCACTAAAAAAGATAACTACAGGGCAATAACCCTGATGAACAGAGATGCAAATATCCTCAATAAAATATTAGCAAACCGAATCCAATAGTACATTAAAAAAATCATTCAATCCCACAATTAAGTGGGATTTATTCCTGGTTGCAAGGGTGGTTCAATATTCACAAATCAATCAACACGATACAACACATTAATAAGAGAAATGATAAGAACCATATGGTCATTTCAATAGATGCAGAAAAAGCATGTGACAAAGTACGACATCCATTCATGACGAAACCCTCAACAAAATAAGTTTAGAGGGACTAGACCTCAACTTAATCAAAGCCATCTATGAAAAACCCACAGTTAGCACATCCTTAATGAGGAAAAACTGAGAGCGTCTCCCTTAAGGTCAGGAGCAAAACGAGGATGTCCACTCTCATCACTTACATTCAACATAGTACTGGAAGTCCCAGCCTCAGCAATCAGACAACAAAAAAATATAAAACGTATTCAAATTGATAAGAAAAAAGTAAAACTACTGCTCCTTGCAGATGACATGATACTCTGTACAGAAGACCAAAAAACTGCTAGAACTGATAAAAAATTCAGTAAAGTCACAAAATACAAAATTGGTGTAGAGAAATGTGTCACATTTCTTTTTTTTTTTTAAGATTTTATTTATTCATGAAAGACACACAGAGAGAGAGGCAGAGACATAGGCAGAAGGAGAAGCAGGCTCCATGCAGGGAGCCTGATGTGGAACTCGATCCCGGGACTCCAGGATCACACCCTGGGCCAAAGGCAGGCACTAAACCGCTGAGCCACCCAGGGATCCCCGAAATGTGTCACATTTCTATGGACCAATAATGAAGCAGCAAAAAAAAAAGAAAAAAAGAAAAAAAAAAGAAAACAGTTTCATTATAATTGTATCCCAAATAATAAGACATCTAGAAATAAACCTAACCAAACAGGTGAAAAATCTGTAGTCTAAAAACTATAAAATATTGATGAAAGAAATTGAAGAGGACACAAAAAGTGGAAAGATGTGCCATGCTCATGGTTTAGAGGAACAAATACTGTTAAAATGTCTGTATCACCCAAAGCAATCTACACATATAATGCAATCTCTATCAAAATACCAACAGTATTTTTCACAAAAATACAACAAGCAATTCTAAAATTTGTATGGAACCACAGAAGACCCCAATTAAAGAGAGCAATCTTGAAAAAGAGAAACAAAGCTGGAAGCCCCATAATTCTGGACTTCAGGTTATATTACAAAGCTGCAGTGATCAAAACAGTGTGGTACCGGCACAAAAGCAGACACATAGATCAATGGAACAGAACAGAAAATCCAGGGGCACCTGGGTGGCTCTGTTGGTTAAGCATTTGAGTCTTGATTTTGGCTCAGGTCATGATGTCAGGGTCATGAGATGGAGCCCTGCATTGGTGTCTATGCTTGGCAGGGCAGGTCTGCTGGAAATTTTCTCTCTCCCTCTCCTTTTACCCCTCCCCCGTACTCACATGCTCACTCTCTCGCTCTCTCCCTCTCTCTCTCTAAAATTAATCAATCTTTTTAAAAAATAGAAAATCCAGAAATAAACCCATAATTCTATGGTTAATTAATGTTCAACAAAAGAGGCAAGAATATGCAACGAGAGAAAGTCTCTTCAGCGAATGGTGTTGGGAAACTGGACGGCTACATGCAAAAAAAAATGAAACTGGACCACTTTGTTACACCAAACACAAAAATAAATTCAAAATGGATTAAAGACCTAAATGTGAGACCTGAAACCATAAAAATTCTAGAACACAAGTAGTAACTTGACATCAACTGTAGCAACCACTTTCTAGAAGTGTCTCCTGAAACAGGGAAAAACAAAAGCAAAAATGAACGTTTGGGACTACATCAAAATAAAAAGCTTCTGCACAGCAAAGAAAACAATGAGTAAAACTAAAAGGCAGCCTGTGGAATGGGAGAAGTTATTTGCAAATGGCATTTCCAATAAAGGGTTATACAACTCAAGACCCAAAAAAAGAAATAATCTGATTTAAAAATGGCCAGAAGGGGCATGTGGGTGGCTCAGTTGGTTAAGCATCCTACTTTTGATTTCAGCTCAAGTCATGATCTGAGGGTCCTGTGATTGAGCCCCCCATTACACTCCCCTCTCAGCAGGGAGTCTGCTTGAGGATTCTTTCTCTTCCTCTGCCCCTCCCCCCCACACTTGCACGTGCTCACGCTCTCTCTCCCTCTTCCTCTCTCTCTCAAATAAATAATCTATTTTTTAAAACGAGCAGAAGACACGAACAGACATTTCTCCAAAGAAGACATACAGATGGCCGACAGATACATGAAAAGATGCTCAACACCACTTACCGGGGAAATGCAAATCAAAACTACAATGAGATATCACCTCACACCTGTCAGAACAGTTAAAATCAACAACACAAGAAACAACAGGTACTGGTGAGGATGTGGAGAAAAAGGAATCCCCTTGCACTGTTGGTGGGAATGCAAACTGGTGCAGCCAGTGTGGGAAACCATATGGAGGGTCCTCAAAAAGTTAAAAACAGAACTACCCAATGACCCAGGAATTACACGACTGGATATGTATTTACCCAAAGAATACAAGAACAGTAATCCAAAGGGATACATGCACCCTTATGTTTATAACCACATTATTTACCGCAACCAGGAGATGGAAGCGGCCCAAGTATCCATCAGTTGACGAATGGATAAAGATGTGCTATATATTTACAATGGAATATTATTCAGCCACAAAAAAAAAATGAAATCTTGCCACTTGCAACAACATGGACAGAGCTAGAGAGTACTATGCTGAGTGAAATAAGCCAGAGAAAGGCAAATACCATATGATTTCCCTCATATGTGGAATTAAGAGACAATACAAATGAGCAAAGAGAATAAAAAAGAGAGAGACAAAGCAAGAAACAGGCTCTTAATTATAGAGAAAAACACTGATGATTACCAGAGGGGAGAGGGGTGGGGAGATGGGAGAAACAGGTGATAGGGAGGAAAGAGTGTACCTGTCACGATGGACACTGGATATCCTATGGAAGTGCTGAATCACTATATGGTGGACCTGAAACTAATATAACACTATATATTAACTAACTGGAATTAAAATAAAAACTTTTTTTAAATAACCCACACAGGGGCACCTGGGTGAACTAGTCTGGTGTCTGCCTTTGGCTTGGGTTGTGGTCTTGGGGTCCTGGGATGGAGCCCTGCATCGGGCTCCCTGCTTGGCAGGGAGTCTACTTCTCCTTCTCCCTCTGCCCCTCCCCTCTGCTCATGCTCCCTCTCTCTCTCTCTCTCTAATAAATAAATAAATAAATAAATAAATAAACAAACAAACAAACAAACAAACAAATAAAATATTTTTTAAAAAAATAGCCCGTAGACTTTAAGTAAAGTTAGTATTTCTGTTGAGTCTTTCTTTTGGGCCAATTCCTGGGCCAGGGATCTCTGAGAAGGTTTACCACAGAAATGATACAATCACAGCATAAATTTTTCCTCCCTGTTGATTGGATTAAGAAAGTCAGGCGCTGCCTCTCTGTCTCGTGTATAAACCACGTCTGCAGGAAGGAGCCTCACACCTAGAAGGCCCATCCAACCCTCAGATATCTCCCTGTGCTGTGACCCAAATTACCACCAATTGGATCAAGCTGTAATTTGCTGACAGACTTCTCTCTTCGTCAAATTCTCAGGTGAAGAAAGCTGGTAATGCAAAACCCAACAGGCATCAAATTGAGGTGAGTCAGCTCAAGCAGGCTTCTCTGAGACAATTCATGCTCGTTGAAGCTAATGGAAAAAAAGCCACAGGATTTCTTTTCTATCTTTTTTTTTTTTAAATATGGAACATTTCACAAACCTGCATGTCATCCTTGCTCAAGGGCCACACTAATCTTCTCTGGATCATCCCAGTTTTAGTATAAGTGCTGACAAAACGAACACAACCACAGGATTTCCTTAAGCTACCGTTCACGCAGAAGTTCTGGCCCAAATGCTCCTTTTGAGGTGGGTCAACCATTTAGACCTTATGGCACCTTCTTTAGAGAAAAAAAAAATCATTTCTTACAGAACAGAGAAGGATCTATCACATCATCTTTCAATGCCAAAGACAGAAAGATAATGTATATACATGAGTTAGATGAAGGAGATAATGAAGTTAATGAAGTAGAGGAAAAAAAGATCTTCAGGTTAACATATAACTCCTTGAGAAAAACACAGGAAATAAATAATCTCATTAAAATTTTCTCATGGAATTCTAAAAGCATGATCACATCCATCAAGTAATAGCCATACCTGTAAATGGGAATTGAATTATAAATCATGAAAATAATTAAATAAATAAATAAATAAATAAATATAAATAAATAAATAAATCATGAAGGCTGTGATGAATAAATCTATACGTCAACTTGCCTGGGCCATGTAGTGCCCAGCTATTGCTCTGGGTGTGTCTACTGGGTGCTTCCAGAAGAGATCAACATTTGAATTGGGAGACTCAGTTAAGCAGACAGTCCTCCCTACTGTTGACGGGGCTTGTCCAATCAATAGAAGGCCAACAGAACAAGAGGACCAGGCCGAGAAGGAGAGAATTCCCTCCGCCTGACTGCATCCATTTTTCTCAAACCTGAACTAAAACATCAGCTTTGTACTTCTCCTGAGTCTTGAGCCTAGCTGGCCTTCGATTGGAACTACACCAGTGCTCTGCTGAGTCTCCAGTTTGCCAACTCAACCTGCAGCCCCTAAAATGTGTCAGCCGCCCAGCTGCATAAGCCAATTCCTTATAACGAATCTCTTTAGAGACAGATAGGAGATGAGAGAGAGAGAGAGAGAGAGAGAGAGAGAGAGAGAGGAGAAACACAGGCACATCCCATTGGTTCTGTTTCTCCGGAGAACCTGACGAAAAAGGATGCTTGGATAAATTTTATAGCAAAGTTGTGTCAAAGAATAAAGATATACCAAGTAGACTTAGCTGCTTTCGTCTCCCCCAGCCCGCAGCCATAAGCTCTACTCTGGTAGTAACTCAAAGAATCATCTGATACAAAAGTCACACCCAGACTAAAAAGGAAAGCCACAGCCACCACCACTAGCACCATACTCAGCCGCCACATTCAGTCAGAGCCATTTACGTCTAAATCCGCCACCTTCACGTGGCCTTCTGCAGAGGCCAAGAGGGGGAGAGCGGCAGTGAGGAGCATCACTCTGGGCCTGCCGTTTGCTCTACGCTGTAATTGTGACCGTTTCCATACCTCTCCTTATAGTGGCCCCGCTGATCTAACAACGTCTGAGCGAAGGCAGATTGGTTGGTCGTCAGGGTCGTAGACACCTTGCCTGAACATATTATATCAACATGAGAGCAAGAGATAGGTCTCAAGTCAATATCAAAGAGTAAATGAAGCAAAACTTTCATACTGATATGAAGATTTTATTCACCAAAATTCTAGGGCAGGAGTAGCTTATGCTTATGAGAAAAACCACCAGCACTAGACAATGCATGTTCCAGAAGACTGCATACACCAGAGAAGGTCAGTGTGTGCTGTGTGAGGGCTCAGAAGGGCAGAGCCACCCACGAGTGCACTCTAGGCAGAGCGAGAGAGGGCCTTATGCAGTTGCCATGAGTGGGAAGCTGGGGAAAAAGAAAGGCGTGTAAAAGGAATTTTTAGAAAGATTCTGTATGATTTCAACTATCTGAAATTCCTTAAAAATAAAACTTAAGAGTAAATATTGACATCATTCTTCAAGATTTCTCGCGTTACACTGTTGTTGCACGTTGCCGTACACGGAAGCCTGGCTTTGTGTGCACTTAGACAAAGCCCATCTTCATATTCCAACATCCTTCCCGATCCCCCACCGGGGCAAACCTTTCCTGTTACTATAACAATTTACAATCCACAATAAACAGTGCAAGTCATTGTCCAGAACAGTAGGACTGAGCTTTGGTGTTATTGGTGTTTATCTTTCAGAAATCTTAGCTTATTTTTATGACTCTTAGTATCTTGTGGCATACAGTATCCATCAATCAACTCTTAAAAAAAAAAAAAAGCAAATTGGGGTGTGTCCAACATTTTGGCTCCAGACACGGTTCTAAGTTTCCATAATGTCCCAGAACAACAGAAAGGTTATATAGGCCCAATATAGCAAATGTAGAGAAGACAGCAAACACCAGCTCAAACTATATCCTCACTATCTAAAAAGACTAGAAAACACTTTAAGTTTTTAAAAAAGGGGAAAAAATAAATAAAATTTAAAAATAAAATTAAAAAAAAATGCAGAATGTTACCAGGATGTGAATTATTTATCACAAAAGGCACCATAAAGACAAATCAAACACTACTGTGGTGTATTATCTTAGGTGACAGATTCTGAAGTGAGAGCACTTTGGGCTAAAATTTCATGTCACCAAAATTACCCTTGAAAATCCCTAAGGAATGTACCATGTCGGAGACACAGTCTCTCAGTTCAGTCCAACATATCCAAATTTTCCTGCTAAGATGGAACAGATAACCATGGCTTTGGTTGAGACCAGCGACCTAACTTCTGTTTAGAGCCTACGTGGTAACAAGAATCTCTTGTACAATCAATATTAGAATCACACTTGGCACAACGAAAAGTTAACACCACGAGCAGCACATGGGAACTGAGACAAAAAGGGGAATAGCAGGTTCTTTCCTATCATCATCTTCTGTGCACCCCAAGGCAAACACTTACTGGTTGCAGTAGAGAACATAATTGTATTTGCTTAAGCTAAGTATACATTTGATAGGATTTTTCTTCTATTCAGAAGAAAAAAAAAACACACACACACACACAGTGGGAAAGAAGACACATCAAAGTGATGAACTTCACCCCGTAACCGAAGACTGGGTGTTACTCACTCTAAATCTGCTTGAATGTTTAGCTTCGCCAGCAAATACGCTTGGCCGAAAATCCAAAAGATACCAGTTTTTCTTTAGATTCTCAGAATTATCCTAAAGGTGGAGAAAGGAAAATCTGCGTCCAGAGTAGACACTGCCCCAGAGGAGTTTAAGAAAATATCTAAGAAAAACCACAGCCTGTTTTCCACTGACTTAACAGATAGTTGTGGCCATACGAAAGCCAGAAATGACAATGGTAACAGACACAAACCATGTTCTGTGAAGCTAAGACGTTAGAGGAGGACACATCACATTGCCAGAGTCAAGAGCATGCAACTCATCCAAAGTACGCTAGGATACGGATGCGTGGTGGGAACTCCTCGGTTTATCAAACAGTAGAAACCCAACCTGGACCCTGAAAAGTTAATATTCTATGAACTTCTTTGGACCACCTATATGACCTTCCCACCAGCCAAGCCCCAGGACAGGGCAGTCGAGGCAGGTGTCCACGTATGCAGTTGAGAGAAGCTGGTTCTGCAGCCTCCTCAGGCCGTGACCTGTAATTGCCATCAGCCCAGTCCTGCCTCCGAAGGAGATCCCCAGACGAGCCCTTGTCTTTTCTCCTAGTAAGAGAAGGAAGGGCAGAGCAGCAGGGGGACGGTGGAGGGCAGGTCAAGAACGGAGAGAGTAGCTAGAGAGGAAGGCTGCCACCGGCAGGGGGGGGGGGGGGGCTGAGCCAGGAATAGAACGACTGCCACCCTTTGCAGCATTCATCTTTCATTCGACAAACACTGAGGGCCTAATATATGCACAGCATCCTGTTGAGCATTGCTCGTGTTTGACAGTCATCACGGGGGATCGATTCCAGGGCCAGTTCGTCAAGGCTCACCGCTTCGCTGGGGGAGCAAGCCTCCACTGTTCCCTACGCGGGTCACACTCCTTACCCCACCTCCGTGCAGGCAGAGGCTCCGGCCCGGCGGCAAGGACGAGGAGAGGGAATCTGGCCCAACTGGGGGCTGAGAGAACCCCTCACCTATGGTCAGCCTCCAAAGTCAAAGCAGGGACCGGGTTCAAACAACATAAAACAGGGCAGCCCGGGTGGCCCAGCGGTTTAGCGCCGCCTTCAGCCTGGGACGTGATCCTGGAGTCCCAGAATCGAGTCCACGTCAGGCCCTGCGTGGAGCCTGCTTCTCCCTCTGCCTTGTCTCTGCCTCTCTCTCTCTCTCTCTCTCTCTCTCTCATGAATAAATAAGTAAAATCTTTAAAAAAAACATAAAACAACGCCTCGTTCTCACTGCAAGTCCCTGGAGGGGCATTTTTAGAACAGAAACCTGAGAACACTTGGATTCTTCACTGGAGCTTAAAAAAGGAAGCCAGGGAGGGTAATTTATAGCCTTACAAGAGATTTTAGAGTTCAGAGATCGAGGACAGAGTCCCTAAGATTCCAACACAAGTCAACATAAAGCAAAAGTTGGATGTGGTGAGGCTGACGGAGGATCCATTTGGTCTTCCGATGCAAGAAAGATGCCTGTAGTCCAGTTTCCCTTTCTCAAAAAGACCTTCTTCTGCCTGTGGTTAGGCAACTGAAGAAATAGAAAGAGAAGAGATTGAAGAAATAGAAGAAAATGTTGTTCCAAAGCAAAGCCACAGAATTCACCTTTTCCTTGATCCAGCAGAAATGGGCCCGTCCGTGACCATGTAGACTTGGGCTGTGAGAACACAAGATGGGAGGCCAGGAACCCCGGCCACTAGTGTCCGAAAGCTGGCTTCAAGACTTGGCCTGGGGTCTGCGCTCTCCTTGACGTTGCTTACTAGTCTAGCGTTCTTTTATGTCAAAAGCTGTATCGACTGGGTGAAGGGCACTGAGGGGGGCACTTGACGGGATGAGCCCTGGGTGTTATTCTATATGTTGACAAATTGAACACAAATAAAAAATAAATTTATTTTTAAAAAAAAGCTGTATCGGTTAAGGGGGGGAGCGTAAGGGCGAGGGCTACAAGCTGGTGTCCTGACGCCGCTGCAGAGACAGAGCTGGGAGCAGAGGTGCTGGACTGCACCGCAGCCCGAGCAGACCGGAGAGGAGAAACAACT